AAGAAGGTGAAACAAGGGTTAGCTCCCAGCATCAAAGAGCCGACAATACAAAAATCTGCCATGTTCAGCCTCATCTGTATATGAGCAATTGTGTACTATTTATGGGTGCACTGAAATATTAATTTTTGCATGACTCTTTTTATGTATTATGGATATAAACTATGTAGGCATTTTTAACGAGTCATCCAAGCCAATACTAAATAAAAAATGAAACCCCTTCATTTTACCCATTTAGCCAAATAGTTTTACCTATTTTCTAAAACACAAATAACTACCTATTTACTAGTTCTTATGACTAACATTCCATGATATAAGAATTTTTTTATATATATGTATATAAATGACAATTTTAAAAATCCTTTCACAAAAACTATATGAATACAGACTTTTTAAGACTATTTAAGAGAATTAGACTTTCTTCTTTATAGGCAGATTTTACTGGTTACATTTTTTTTTATTTTGTAATTACGATTTAACCAAACTCAAAAACTGTGGTTATGATTTTCTACATAATACAGTGTTGCACTAATTCTATTTCCATTGAAATTGACATGAGTTTGAACAGAAGTTAAAGTTTGGTGTTTTTGAAAATCCAACTCCGTATTACTATATACTTATAGTACACAGAAAAAAATCTCCATGGAATTCACATTACATTTGCAAAGTCAAGTACTCATAAATTAAGAAAGGCAAGAACTGAGGGATCCACTGCCTCCACTGAACTCAGCTACAGCTTTGACTGAAGACCACTTCTGCAAATCAGACCCTAGCTATTTGATAACCAGAATGAAGACTACACAGTGATTATCTGTGAAATTCTGGTTTTTGTGATTTGTTCATTATCATGAAGGAAATCTGAGGGAGAAGCAAGGTTAGAATCTATTCTTCTGCCTTTAGTGTAAGATCATCCCTTCTCTTCTTGCAGTTCCTTGCCTCATTCTCTAACATTTTCCAACTTCTGCAGCACACGAGGGAGCGGACCTGCTAACAAGTCTCATTCATGATGTAACCCTGATTCATCTCTAGAGCATCCTGTGGACTGAATGAGATAGGGATCCCATGGGGAAAAAAATGTATGTTGTCATTGTATCATAAAATATATACACAGCATAGCCCAATTAATGGGCCTTGCATTCCCTGCAATGGGAATCATGAACTGACATTTTCCATCTCTTCAGTTCTCAATTTTAATTTTGACGTTATTTTCATTATTCCTTTAATATATTATAATTACTGTACGTTAACAGTTATTTTTAAGGGTTTCTTTGTTAATATTTTTTTCAACCAAGGTTTAGTCTTTCCATTCAGTCTTTTAATGGGAAGACTCAGTCTCATAATAAGTCTTCCTATAATGAGTGAGAACCAGGAATCCTGGCTTTCTCTGATTTAAGAAAAACTCCAATTTTTGGTTAAAAAAAGTAACCCCAAATCCACATTTTCCTGTGATTTAAATGAAACTAGTATACGTGTGTGTGTGTATATACACACATACATACATACATACATACATACATATATATATATATATATATGTATGTATGTTTCATTTTAATCATGGAAAATGTGGATTTGGGGTTACTTTTTTAAACCAAAAATTGGGGATTTTTTTTAAATCAGAGAAAACTAGGATCCCTGGTGAGAACTTTAGATCCATGGCAGAGTCCCTTAACATCTAAGCTAACTGTAACTGGTAAGACACCATTAGTAGTAGTAAGACACCATTAACTTTATACACGCTTGTCACTAGAGAAGGAAATACACATTTGGCCAATGAGTTTCACAGCTACTTGCTAAAAAGTAAAGGAAGGTTGAGAATCAGTAATAATAGATTAATTGCTAGATTCTGAAATAGTTCCCAAGAAGTTAAGACCTATTGACCCTACTCTCTTGGGTTCTCCATGTCCCCTTCACATCTTTCCTCAACTTCTCAGTTCCTACCCTTCCTCTCCTCCCCACAATTCCTATCCATATCTCCCCTACTCCTATCTCTTCCACCTCTCCTAGTCCTTACACCTACACGCATGCCTTTCTCCTCTCATACATGCCCTTCTCCTTCCCACATTCCTCCATTGCCCCTATGCTCCCACCCTCACAGATTCAGTCTTAGCCCTTTTCTACCGCTTCTTAGCTTCTGTTTCTGTTACTCCCCCTTGCCCTATATCTTTTCCTCTTCCAGTTATCTCCATCATTCCTTACCCCTTTTGTATTTGAATTAGGCTGTTTGGTCCCTTCCAAGTTCTAAGATTGCCAGCAAGGGGAGAATTGATCATGATTTGTACTGTACCACAGTAGTCTTGGGCAATTCACAGGAGCAAAGGCAAGGAGAATCTTGCTCCAGCAACAACAGTCTCAGTCTAGAACATGCTTATTTGCTGTATTGGTTTGTACAAGTGCAATATAATCACCTAATGCTATGCAGAATGAAGTATGCTCAGTTCAGATAGAGTTATTGAAGAACTTAGGGGCCCAAATCTACCGATCCTCTCCTGAGCATATGCAAACTGAGGCCCCCCCTGCACGTTACAGGTATTGCACAATTAACTGGTTAATTGCACACTTATCTTGAGACCAGCTACACATGCAAAATAGTTATCATGCCAAAAAAGTTCCAACCAATTATATAGTTGAACATTGAAAATGTGTATTAACTTTACAGCTGGTTGTTATTAAACTTTAATTTGCATGTGTAGTAGGGTCTCCCCTATGTCTAGGAGTCCAGTCAGCTGAGGGGCTCCTGGCCACAGGGGTGTACCATGACCAGATGGGGATGAGTGTCCAGCAACTGAGGGGACTCTTAACCTCAGCAGCTTCAAGCTCTGGGTCCCCTGCCCCTGGTCTCACCCTCCTGCCTTTGGTTCCACATAAACTCTATTTTCCAGCAAAAGAAACAGACCCATGAGTTTCATTCAGGAAGGCAAAGATGATGTCTTCCACATTTAGTAAAGTTTAGCCCAATAACCTAGTGGTTAAGGGACTAATTAAAGCAGAAGGAGACCCAGGATATAGCCTCCTCTTCCTACACCCACCACAAGGGGATTTGAGCCATTTCATTTTGTATTTGATATGTGAAGAGAGTAGTAGGGATGTTTGTGCCTCATTAAGAGCAAGGTTTCAGGGCCAAGACTAGGATTTTTGCCCCTCCCCCCAAGCAGCAACCATCTTACTGAATCACACACCTTCTAGTAAATACTTTCTGGCCCCATTAATCTGCTTTTCTCAGAGGCCAATATGGCCAACTTTAAGAGAAGAGATGGCGAAGGGTGTTGCCACGTGGTTACAGAACTATGTTTGGGATGTCCAAAAACGCAGGCTAAAATCCCATGTGGATGAAAGAGGCCTAAAACTTGATTCTCATGCTTCTTGAGGGAATGACTTAATCACTATGCTAAAATATGGGAAGGCCCTCCTTTAGTATCTCATATACACTAGCAGGGGTGGTGCACCCCCTGCAAAAAGGTGCTGCCAACAGTTGGTGGTACCTGTGGGCATCCATCTGCGGGTGGTCCACTGGCCACTGCAGCCACTGCCAGTGGTGCCTGTGGGTTACTGCCGACCCCTGGTCGGGGCTCGCCATCCCTCCCCCACCCCCCCCACCAACAGTCCGATGGCGTCTACGGGAGCTCCACACGTACCGCTGCCAGGCTCCTGCTGCTGCCAGCATAGCTGTGCCCCTCCAGCCACTGGGGGCATATGCTGTTTATGTACATTAGTCAAAAGTTTTTTTGCCTGGCTACAGTTTTGGGTCCTGGCTCACCCAACTCCATGCATAAGGAGCTGTATACCTTCCCAGCCAGAGCATGGGCCACTGAAAATGTTGTGTTAAGTGTCAAAAATGTAACTTTAATGACTGGATAATTTCCATTTGGGTGCATAATGTAAAATAAGATTCTGCATAGGATGTGTAGAGATTCTAAATTAAAGACAGTGCCTGGATATTATTTTGTCTTAGACATTTAAAGCATGGAGAAAATCCAATAGCTGGATTACCTGATAACACTAAGGCAGGTATCTCATAGGAGGAACTCAATCATATTGTCATGATAAGGACCTGAATTCTGTTCACAGTCAGAACTTCCCCAATTAGACTTTCAGGTTAGGTACAGATGTTTAAAAGCCTGAGCTGGAATTAATCTAAGTTATGCAGTTTTCTGTAAGCAGAGTAGTTTAGAGTGGTAGTGAACAAAACACACATTCACCCTTTGGTGGGGAGAGAGGAGGCAAATCTTAGACCAGGTTCCACTTTTTTTAAACCAGTCTATGTGTGCCCAACCTTTGTCCTGTTATGGGTATAGACCAGTTTTGTGTGCTGAACTTTTGTTTTGTTACATGTATAGACCAGTTTCTGATCACTTATAACAGTAAAATTGTAACATCTGTACCCAACCTCAGGGTATGCACAAGCATTACATTTAGATCATTTTAACTAGGTTTGCCTGTCAGTATTTGAAAGTGCCAAATATCCCAGCATTCACTATTACTTAAAATATGGGATTTTCTTACTTACTCAACAATGGTAGTATTCTTAGTAAAAAACCAAACAAACGTTCAGTAAATCTACCTAGAGTGAAACAAAAGTAAGTGAAAACTAGGAATAAGTAAAATAAAATATACTACCAATTTGGGTAAAGAAATCTTCAAACAACTGATTAACAAATTCTGTGGTTTCATAAGAATGGTTTCCCTGCAAGTGTTCAGAGGTTCTGATAAAAATGTCCTATATATGAAAAATGTCTTTTCAAACTAAAAAAATTAATCTGCCAGTGCTTCAAAAACGTTGACTCCTCAGCCTGTAATATTTGTCAATAGTGTATAAGAAAACAGAAATGTATGTGAATGATTAAAGTAAAAACTGACCCCTTTGTAGAGAGGTATTGCTGAACTCAGAGACGAAAATTTTGATAATGGGTGTAGCAATGTTTAATTATCCTGTACCAATTTCCAATGCTAGAAGTCGGGCTGTTTTTTGCAACAAGCATTGAAGACAAAAAATAGAGTCTTACCTGTTCAGATAATTTTGGTCCACTGATGTGAGCTTGCATAAGAGCATCATTAATAAGTGAATGAAAGTTCAGAAGTACATATTTAATGTCATATGTCCCATACATGGCACTGGATAATTCTTCCAATGAACCAATATAACCCCGCCAGTGAAGGTCAATTTCTGCCATGTTCGCTAGGCAGCCTCTAATAACATTGAGGCAGTATCCCATACAAGGCTTACTTAAAATCAGTCCTTGACAGTGTGGACAATATTGCATTCTTAATAGGGCTCTGCTGCATTCTTTAGAAAAATGTAAATGATCTGTTGTATTTATCACTTCAACCCCTAAATTGAGGGCCTGCAAGAAAGTACGACTAGGTAATAATGATCTTCCCATTTGCCCCATGACTATTTTTGGAATGTTACCAAATGGGTTGATTTCTCTTCTTGCAATTCGAATGCATTCTGAATATTCCAGTGAAATGTCAGTCATGCCAGGATTAATCAGATGATTGTAGATGACTGGAAACAGTGTGTCAAAAAATCTGTTGACAAATTCTTCTGTGCTAATATCTGTGCCAAATACAAAGAGTCCCACATCCGTAAAAAACTCCTGAACAGATGTCGCAGCCTCAACAGCCATGTTTCTATATGTGTTGCAGAAAAATGTTCTTGTATAATTCTCAGCCTGTTTGATAAGCATTTCAAAGGTTTCTGAAATAGAAAAGAGGTAACTATTTTAAAGACAAAGAGGCTTAGACAGTTCAGCAAGAGCTTAAAGAGAATTAAATATACTATATTGAGTTAATCCAGTCTATATATTTTAACCATGGCACATGGCAGATTTACAGCAGATATTGCAAGGATTAATGGTTAGAATTTATGAAGGTATAAACTACATGCAGACTACAGATTATCTTTCTTTGTGTGTGAATAATATATAATGCACCATGGATACTACTAAAATAGGGTAATATACAAACTCTCTTGATAGAGTACATTTTATGCAGTCGAAACAGATGCGAAGGGCAAATGAGCTTTTAGTAACTTGCAGAAGAAATCAGATATTTCAAGTAGCTGTTTCAATACATTGGTTTACCTCTCCCCATATCATTCAGCAGATATTTCATAACTTTAATTTCAAATGAAACATTACCAGTCATTCTAGTTTAAACCATGCAATCAACTCCTTGCCATTTAGAACAGGTTGTTAAAAATGGCGTGAAATGCTTGAAGACACTCTTGTTGATAGAGTATGTTTTATTCATCACTAGTTAAATTAACAGAGAAAACATATTTTGTTTCTTCTCTTTTAAAAACATCAAGGGCAACCCATATACAGTTGGAAATATACCTTTAAACTGTGCCATTACTTTAGCAGTAGCTGTAGTCACTGGAAGCTAAGGGCACTCAGGACCTCTCAGAATCAGGGTACCAGGCTAACATAAAGATTATTGCCACGGTAACATGGTAACTATCACCAGAGACATAAAACAATAGCAAAGGGTGTTAAGAAAAATTACATAATAAACTTCATTTAATCCATTTGTGGATGATGTTGCAATAGAAGAACTTAGAGGAAGGTCTAGGAAATTGTTCTGTTTACATGTGGCTGTAATACCAGGTGCAGTTGCATCACCTCTGTAAATAGTTATCTTAATAAAGAGAAAGATTAATTTTAGAAACTTGGAATCTGTCAACACCATTTGGTGCAGTGCAATGTAGATATAAACAAGATAACGATAATACTGGGGGAAACATATCTGCATTAGTGCAGCACTTCACCTGGGGTCAACTACACAGGATGCTGCTCCAAATGCAGAAAGATGATGTTTAGTATCAGGGAGCCATTTTGCTATTAAAAGTACACACTTGCTCCAAGGTGCTTACAAGTTAATTTAAGAAATATATACATGCTATAGATACCTTTCTTTATAAGCAGCTGGGATAAAATTATCCTACAAGGTGTTAAAATACCCACTCAATACCTACATCAGAGAATGGATGAGGAGGACCACGCTACTAATTATCAGCATGGCTCTCCTGGTGTCAAAAAACCCGTGCAAGTAAAAGGCAGGGTGGCACACATAGTGGCTAAGTGTGCCACCTGAAACTGAAGGCTGGCGCAGGAACAGCCCCCAGGACTCCAGGTAAAGCTACAGGGATAAGCCCAGATGTTGGGCCCAGCCTTCCCTGCCCCATCTGGAGCATTTTTCCCCATGCTAACCCCACATGCAGGGGTATACACCAGGGCAAAAAGCATTGGCATGAATTTGTGTTGTTCCTTTTTTCTCCATGCTGCTTCTCAGGGGGACATGGCCTGTGGGTTAAAGTATTTTTCTCATATTGGAAAATCAGTCCTTTTCTGAAAACATTGCAATGATGCCACCTTTTTATTACCAGATGAACAGCCTTTGACTAAATGAAAAGTGCCTATGACAAAGGAAAGAAGAAAAAGCAATGTATTTAAATAATAAGATGAAGAAAAGTTCAACAAGGACAGAGATTCATGAGCTGTTTCCACACGAGTGTGAACATTTGTTTCCCTGGGTACAAGAAACAGCGGAACACCAAAATATGTTTTCTCTGAGTGTAGACATTTGTTTCCCCTCTGGCACATGGCAGGTTACCCCAGGTGGGGTTAGGGAGGCTGGGGCCCAGCAGCCTTACCTGGGGTCCCAGGGGCTCCTGGGGCTGCAGTAGTGACAATTCTGCCATTCAGAGCCTGGCCAGCAGCCAGAGCATGGCTCCAGCTGGCCAGGCTGTGGTTTTGGGTGGTGCCTGCTGCCCCTGCATGTGCCACTCCGCTTGTGTGTGTGTGTGTGTGTGTGTGTGTGTGTGTGTGTGTGTGTGTGTGTGTGGACGGTGGGCAGGGGTTGATCCCAGGATCTCCCAGGGTCAACCCCCCGCCCCCTTTTTGCTGCTACCTTGCAGCACGGAGAACAGCTGAATGATTGGTATGTGGTGCTGCAGACGTGTCCTCCTCTGTATGTGGCCATGGTAGCTTTTTTTTGGTGACTTATTTTTTGCAAGAGGAACTGTCATTCATACATCCAAGTGGCAGGTACAGAGCTGTATAACTGCAGTATTGGCACACATAATTTGGTATTCAGCATAATGCTAAATTTCCCTACTGGGTACATCCACACATGATTAATGTACATGACTAAACTCCGGGACTTATTGCTCTGGAGTTTTTTGCTCCTGGGCGCATATTCAAATGGTGTGCCCAGGAACAAAAAACTCCAGAGCATATTGATCCGGAGTTTATTCATGCACAGATTTGTATACTGTGTAGGGGCTGGCTGAGGCATGAGGGTGCTTCAGCATGGGACTAGCTGGCAGGCAGCTGCCCTCATGCCCCATCCAGCCAAGGCAGTGTCTACACATGCACTACTGTTGATGAAAAAAGCTTTGCAGCAGGTTAGGTATTTACAAGTCCTAACCTTCTGTGGAGTTTATTAGCTTATTCGTTTTGCACCATGATAGGAGTGCACGTGTAGACACTGAGACGTTTGCTGCACAGTTAATTAGTCAACTGTGCAGTAAACATCTTGTGTAGATGCTCCCACTAAGTCTGGTCAGTAAAATGTGCTTTGACCAGGCAGCTGCCCAGAGGAAACAGAATTCTTTGGCACAAGTGTGATGCCATGGAAGTCCTAAACCTTCAGTTAGATAAAAAGCAATGCTCGCAGGTGTTAGAGGGAGGATGGAATCTCCCAGATGTAGATTCAGAGGGGGTGCAGTGGTGTGGCTCCACTCCCCTTTCTGACCACATGGCCGGTGCAGTAGCAGGGAACTTTTTTAAGTCCCCAAAGAAGATAAGGATCCCTCCCTTCCCTTCCTGTCCCCTCCCCTCCCATTCTCTCCTCCCATTCTCTCCTCCTCCTTCCTGCTGTTTCAGGGGCAAGGGGAGATCCTACTATGTTGCCAGGCTTTGTGGGGGCTAGGCTCATCCAGGGACAGTGACAGCAGTGGCAGTGGTGGGCAAGTGCATTCCCTTTCCCTGCCTGGTCCCCCTGGGCGTTCCTCACCAGCATGGAAAATAGCTATAGGGTAGGTAATCCATCTAACCCATATACCTGCTGCCACTGGAGTAGAAGCTGTTCTACTTTTGTTTATTCAATAAATATTACCAGTGCTGTAGGAGACATAGGGAGTGCTCTAGGAAATCCTTAGCCTGAGTTATGGTGGTCTGAGCACTGAGCTGGGATTCAGGTTTAAACCTCCTCCAGACAATGGAAGTTGCGAAGCTGGGTCTCTTAGGCAATCTGGCTCCCATATTGGGCTGTACATATGAAGACCCTCTGGGCTTTCCCTTCTCTGTTTCACTTCTGGCAAATACATGCACAGAACGATCCAAAACTTTCATTTACCTCACTATGGACCCATCACTTAGACATGTGGGCCAGGTACAGATGTTACACTTTTACTAGTATAAATTATCAGAAGCCAGTCTATGCCCATAATAGAACAGAAATTCAGCACACAAAACTGATCTATATCCATAACAGAAAAGAAGTTTAGCACAATAGACTAGTTAAAAAATGGTGGAACCTGGTCTAAGATTTGCCCTCCTCTTCCTCCACCAAAGGATGAAGGATGTGTTCACTACTGATCTAAACTATGCTACTTACAGAAAACTGCATAACTTAGATTGATTCCACCTTGGGCTTTTTAAGGTCTGTACCTAGCCATGAAGGAAGAGCAAGGTTCTGTTCAAAGGAATCAATGTACATTTTGTAACTGAACAAATTACATTAAAAATACTCCTGTTGGCATCACTGATTTCTGCTTCAAAAATAAAATTGATTTGCAGGGCCCCAGTATCTTTTGTCACTCGGCTGCCTGATAATAAGTGACTACAGTACTCACCAGTTAAAGAATAAATAAACTACCCTTTTACTAAGGACTTAAATTAATCTATAGATATTACCCTTTTCTAAATATTCCTCCCTAATTCTACCATAATACCTATTGTAAATTGCCAATGGACAACAGGTAGGTGGATGGACAGTTCTAATTTCTGATGCACTGTTTTATTTATGGCTTAACATTCATTTTAACACTTCCTTCCATCTGATTTCTTCCTTCCTTATTATGTATTATACCACCTGTCATGCCTTGTGTTCTTTTCTTAAATTAACGTTTAAGCACCTTGAAGCAAGTATGTACTTTTAATAGCAAAATGGCTCCCTTATACTGAACATCACCTTTCTGCATTCAGAGCAGCATCCTGTGTAGGTTACCCCAGGTGAAGTGCTGCATTAATGCAGATATGTTGCCCCCTGGACCATAGCTATCTTGTTTATATCTACATTGCACTGCACCAAGTGGTGTTGACATACTCCACATTTCTAAAATGGTTGTTTTTTGTTGTTTTTTTTTTATCAGAGAAAACCAGGATCCCTGTCTATAAGTACATAACTGGACCTATCTCCTGCTTGAGATGGAATTGTCTTTACCATTCCTTTCTGTATCTACTTGATGGTTTAACACACCCTTCTCACCTGTGTATCGTGTCCTTGTATCCTTTGTTAAAGTGGGTTACCTGCTGTGACAAGGCATTTTCCTAACTGTTTTTATGTACCAATTGGTGTTCCTTACTGAACAGTGACAACTTACACCTCCTGTAAAAGAGTCTTGGGTCTTGAAACCATTGCTCCTTTGATTAGCTATTATCTAGGACCCGCAAGTCAGTTTCAATAAGAATT